CCCCCATTGAATATGAGGCTGGGTGGACCCCAGAATTGGACTGGATGCTATGGACAAATGGACAAGAAGAGAACGTCTTGCCCCTCTTGGGAGTCGAACCCCAGATTTCCAGCCCACAGCCTAGTCACTATATTAACTGAACTATCCCAGAAAACAAACACAAAGAAAACTACAGACATAAAAATTTGAGGGACTCTAAAGATAAAAGCAATGGACAATAAGTGAATAAATGACAAAATAAGACTGTAGGGGCATGTTTTAAGAATGAACACACAGCATACCCCAGAGAAGTTTTAGGGCATGAAACTGACTGGAAGATGAGAAGCAGCAACTTCGGAAAGACAGCGATAGATGGAGAAGACTTGGTGCTACATCACCCATATGAAGTGGAAACAAAATAACAGGAAGACAATAAATATGATGGAAATGAGTTTATCACATGTAACGACGCACTAGGTGCATTTACCAACTAAAACGGTGACTATAGTTTCCTTAGCTACATCTCCAGCTCTGGCAGCTACTGCCAACTTGAGGAGGTCCACTAACATACATGCATCATCTTGATCCAAAAGACCAGTGAAATCATCCAGATTTGGATGCATTGGGTCAGCTTCTTCAGTTTGACCAACAACCTGTGAAGAAAACGAAGACATGGGACTTCTAAAAGCAACCTAGTCCACAATACAAACACGTTCTTAAATGACATAAACCTTGCAATGTAAACATTACTTACTACTTATGGAGCTGAGCCCTTCTTGAGGAGAAGCCAAATCTGCAGCTACTCAGGAATTTCCTACCATTTTATGAAACCTGAAGTTTCATTACCGTGTTCACAAGAGCCCTCCACTGGTCCCTATCCTGAGCCAGATCAATACAATCCATATCATCCCATCCTGTCTCTCTAAGATCCATTTTAATATTGTTCACCCACCTACGCCTTGGTCTTCCCAGTGGCATCTTTCTTTCCGGGTTTCCCACCAATATCCTGTATGCATTCCTTTTCTGCTCCATTCGTGCTACATGCCCTATTCACCTCATCCTTCTTGACTTGTTCATTCTAATTATATTTGGAGAAGAGTAAAAGTTATGAAGCTCCTCATTATGCAGTTTTCTCCAACCTCCTGTCACTTCATCCCTCTTCAGTCCAAATATTCCCCTCAACACCCTGTTCTCAAACACCCTCAGTCTGTGTTCCTCCCTCAATGTCAGAGACCAAGTTTCACACCCATACAGAACCACAGGCAAAATTATAGTTTTGTATATTCTAAGCAGTGTAAACACTCAAGAGTCTTTATTTACCTGAGCATTTGATGTCATGGTGGCAGCAATGACACTCATTGCACTTGTTGATAGCTTGGATGCTCTAGAGGAAAGACTGACAGAACTCGAGAGAGACGGGAATGCTGCCATTGGGCTCTGTTCACTTTCTGGTGTGCTGTGGGAACTCTTCATCAACACACACAACACAAAGCTCATTAAACTTATGAAAAAATCTCAGATTAATGGCAGTGGTACAAACTGCTTAAAAAACTGGTCATACCACTTTTTGCCTGTTCATTCCATTTTCTTGTTTAATTTTCTCAAAAACCGTGGGAATTATGGAAAAATGTGTACTGAGCATACAATGTGGGTTTTATTTTTGTCTACAGTTTCTGCTCAAAATGTTCTTTGCTCTGATAGATATTTAGCATATTACACTAATGATGCTCAGGGAAAAACACAAGTAGCTCTTCCTGCAAGAAGCCTGTTACTACTGTCTGATTTAAAGAAAACGGACTGTGTCGAGAAATTTTATTAAAATGCTCAAATATAAGAGTTTATGTATATCAGTTCAGTGGGTCTGAAGATATGTGTGGACAGACACGTGGAGAAACAGATGAACATAATACAGCTAACAGGATTCTTGACAACTTTTCATTGCAAACATGCCACAAACAGATACACAGAGTGAATCCCTCTGGCTGAACTTCTGCTCACCAGCCCAACAGCTTCTGCCACAGACGCTGGTGCCTCTCCCCCACCCTGGGCAATTTCTATTCCATCTTCATAGGGAGGGTTAGAGGAACTGCGACTGGCCGGCCCTTCTGGGGGAGTATCGGGAGTGCGAACCTTCACTGCAGGTCCTGAAAGAGGAGTAACAACGGATGAAACTACTTGCCACAGTACTGAGATGACAGTATTACAAGTTCATAAAGTTCTCCCCTGTGCTTAACTAATTAAGCACTATGGGGTGGATGTATAGATCCACATTTTCTTTACCACAACACTAGCTGGAGGTGTGTGGTCAACTTCATGCCCCTACCAATTTACTCCTGGGGAAAGAGCCCCTGGAACCCATTGGATAGGAGGCTGGGTGGGCCCCAGTGCTGTGGATGATGTGGAGAAGAGAACATTTTTTACTCTACTGGGGCTCAAACTCCGACCGCTGAGTCGTCCGGCTCATAGCCAGTCACTATACTGATTGCGCTATCCCGGCTCATATCTGCCCTATTAGTAACAGGTGAGTATGTCCCATAGAAATATCTTACTTTAATGTTGGCAAAGGCCAGGGCAGCTCAGTCAGTAGAGTGACTGGGCAGGACAACAAGGGAGTTAGTATTTGACTCCAAGCAGGGGCAACCAGTATGTCCAGACAGGCTATGAGGGCTATCCAGTACCCTACCCAATGCATATCAGGGACTTTTTACCTCAAGGTAAAGTGGCAAAACCATGAAGTTAATGATTCACCTCTGTCTAGTGAAAAAGTTATGAATGCAATGCCCCACAGTGTACTGCTTAATTAAGCAGAGGGAGAATAGATTATAGAGTAACTGTGAGCTGGGGACTTACCTGTTGAGGCGAAACCTGCAATGTTGGAATGGCTAGAAAGTGCAGCCACAACAGCCTCTCTGGCATGAAGAATCTGAAGGGCGTTCAGCACATGTTGCAATGCCTGCTGCTTGGACACATGCGACTCCAGGGACAAGATAATTCGAGACAGGGAGACCTGAGGAGATCGGCTGCCAGCGTTGTTCATTTGTTGGGCTTGGCTTTTATCTTCAGAACCAGTTTCATAAATACCTGAAACAAATATGGGTATTTCAGTTATAAATATAAAGATGAACATGAGGATCACAGCCTGATGCATTCTGCTGCCTGTCACAACCTTCCAATAAATATATTGATAGTGATTATGTTCATTAGTAGTCTCTGCTTACCTCACTAATGACATGAAGGAAGAAAAATAAATATATGAAGTTACAAGCTTCCAGGCATGCACTATGATGAATGTTCAGTTTACAGCTTTCTGGGTTGTAACAACATGTAGCCTTGCACGTGTATACTAGTGCCGCCATGAAGCATCAGTGTTCACCTTCAGTCCTACATGGGGTCACAACTCAGAAGACCATATGGAACTGTGCAAACCTTGGAGCCTTCTCTTCAGGTAGCCATACCAGGGCTGAACATTCCTGAACGAAGCAATCAATGAGAATGTGACAAGATGCTTAGCAGAACACTCAGTGTGAATAAGACATGATAATGCTGAGCCACATTAATAACACAAACTATATATCAAACTAGTCAGCACAGTATGAGGAAAACTATAAAAAAAGGATTGGAAAAAGCCAACAACTTTGAGTCAGAGTTTAGCTGTGCTGTGCTTAATTAAGTACCACACCATGAAGGTGTATGAGGCGTAGAGGTACAGCTCCAGGCATTGTTAACCTTGACACTAGATAAAGGTGAGCAGCTGCTTTACTTCCAGGGAAAGAACCCCATTGGACAGGAGGCTGGGTGGGGCCCAAAGCTGGTCTGGATACACATGTGAAGAGACAGCCCTCTTGCCCATCAGGAATCAAGCCCCGATCACGCAGCCCACAGTCACTACAGTCACTGAAGTATCATGATTTCATTTTCACTAACAGAGAATTATACCATTATTTGAATATATCTGAAGGATGGGTATGGCTGAATCAGAGAAGCTGTATGTTCCATTACCTAGAGTAGAAGCTCCAAGCGGGTCGTTTGAAGAGACAAAGAGAACTGGCTCATGCATGTTGGGCGGCTGCATGTTGAACGTAGTCCACGCAATGGAATGAGAGGACCCACATGCCACACGGTTCACATGAATGTCCTCTAAACCATGCACAGGGGCTGGTTTACGATTCACAATGGTCGTACCATTGCCCTGCTGTCCATGGTCATTGTCGCCCCATGCATACACCTACACCATGAGGTACACACAATGTTTATTAGCAGGTAATACATTTATTCACAGAGACACTTAACTTACAGTTACAGAACATACTTGGCCTGTGTCCGAGACAGCGAGACAGTGGAGAGCGCCCACTGCTACATGAATGATCTTCTTGCCTCTCAATCCTTCAACCAATGTGGGTTTCCTTACATGCTGATCTATGCCATGTCCCAAGCGGAAGTAGTCTCCCTTGCCCCAAGTCCAAACCTGTAACGTAATAACTTGTTGAGGGAATACAAAGCTCTAGTAAAGTGTGCATTACACTCTAAAGTCTTTAAATATACAGTTAAAATCTGTTGTTCCTCTCAGTCCTTCTAGGAAATGCTGGGACAGAATTTCTAATCAGGCCATCATTAACTCATTCAAAATTTTTCCCAATTCTTTATTCACTTATCACCTATGATTTGATGCTATAAAGGAGTGTTCCCCAAGGGTGTGCTGCAGAACACTGGTGTGCCACATGTGCCATGTGATTTATTTACACATTTTACTGTTTTACTAGTAGGCTTTCTATTGCTACAGTATATAAATTCAGCCAGAGTATTCAACCCAAAAGGTTTCTTATGCTCAAATGGCTTCATGTGCACCTTTCTTTTTCAAAATATTCCGGGAAGAAAACATTCAGACCCTCCCCCCTCCACATGCTTCCAATTTCAAAATTATAACAGAGTGTGCCACAGTTACAATAAGACTGGAAAACACTCCTATATAGTTAGATATACTGACAGCATCATTAAGTAAATCAGAAATAAATATTGTTACCTGACCATATTTTGTGAGCGCAAGAGAAAACTGTGCCCCACACTCAATCTGGCAAACTCCCATGTTGTTGAGTCTCTCAATATTGTGTGGAGTGTTGCAACCCTCGCTGCCACCTCGACCCAGTTTCCCAAAGTCTCCGTCACCCCAGGAGAACACCAATCCCTCATCTGAGAGGGCAAGTGTCTGGGCATCCCTGCTCCCACAGGCAACCTGAACAATGCGGTTACCCAGCAATGACTTCACCTGCAAGCATCAAACAACAGTGCAAGATATTATAATGTCTCCTCAAGGTACACATCTGCCAAACTAGGTGGCATCATATCCCACAAGACCATATCTTGACACTCGCCCTTGCAAGAACCTAAAATCTTAGATAACGCCCGCCATGAGATTAAGGTTCCCACAGCAGTGACTATGAAGATTACTTTCTTCTGGGATGGATGTTGTGTAAACTGGCAGACAGCAACATTCTGAAGGAACCTGATGCCACTATCTAATCTGAAGATGGAGACAGCAGATTCCTTTGAAACGTTCATATGTATCAACCAAACTACACACTGACATGTCCCACAAGAAAGCAATCTTCATAATGTCAGATGTCTGGCTTAAAGGAAAAAAATTAACCACCTGCTAACCACATCAGTACTGATACAATTTTATATATGTAACATGCGTAACAACGTTACAACTCTTCTCCTTCTGTTTCCTGCTTCTTACTGTGGATTTAACATAGAACACTCAAAGATAATACAAAATTTACTCTGTACGTTTATCAATATGCAGGGCAGCCAAGGTAACCTTGTGCGCAATGAGAACTATAGCATGGTGACTTTAGTTCCCACTGCATATTGAAAATGCAATCTACTTGCTCTGTAATGATGGTGTAATGGTATGCCTCACTATTTCATGATAACACCCTCAAAGATGTTTTAGACTCAGTGCAGCTTTTGATACGGCACACATCTTATACTCTCTACTTATTAATGTGACATGTTCATGTAATCTTGAAGATAATGGATGCTGAATACTGAAGTGGCCTTTAATAGCACGGTTACTTGCTATACTAGAAGATACTCAGTATGTTCAGTCTGTATAAATGAAATTTCATGATGAGGATATATAAATTGAAAGAATTAATTCTTAATTGCAAGGTTTACTGATTGTAAATTAACATATATTTTAAAAGGTGAAATGTAAAGTTGTACCTGTACTTAATTATGAAGTATTACACTATGAAGGCATATGGGAGAGTGGAGGTATAGCTCCACCATTCTTGACCTCAGCTCTGGACTCAACTGAGTGTTCAGTTTCATGCCCTGGTGGCCTTACCATTGAGGGAATGAGCCCATGATACCCACTGTAGAGGTGGATGGGTGAGCCTCACGGCCAGTAAGAATGCTGTGTATTAGAGGAAAATTTCTTGCCCTTGGCAAAAATCCAACAGCGGTCATTCAACCCATAGCCTGTCACAATACTGAGCTCTTTCTGTGAAATTTAATTTATGGTGAGAGAGATATGAGGCTTCACTGATTTTGATATATGTCCCTGACAGTATAAGATATGTTGTGCACTCTAACAAATAGATTTCACAAATCAGTACTATGCTTCTCTTCGCAAGGCTTCTGTCCTACATTACAGCGCCATCAGCACTAACCAGCTTCGGCTTTAACTGAGTTACATTGTCTCCATGGCCCAGCCTTCCATATTCCCCGAGTCCCCAGGTATAGAGCTCCCCATTAGAAGTTATGGCTGCACTGTGGGAACTTCCACAGGCAATATCCCGGATACGTTTTGACTTCAAACTCTCAATCAAACGCGGCTTGTCAAGACTCAGTCGGCTGTTGTGCCCCAACTTGCCATCTTCTCCCTCACCCCACGAGAAAACCTGGAAAGAGAGATGAATATAAGTAGTTACTATAGGATTCTGACGATGGTGTATAACACACTGATATGTTGGGATTTTGGACTTTATCCATCGTCCTGGTTTTTAAGATAACAAATAAAAACACGACGTTTCGGAAACTGGATCTGTTTCCGTCCTCAGGTGAAGGAAAACACCTATTCAGTTGGGTCCAGTGATTGAGGCTAGCTCTTTCTAAGGAAAGGTCCAGTGATTGAGGCTAGCTCTTTCTAAGGTCCAGTGATTGAGGCTAGCTCTTTCTAAGGGACCCAACTGAATAGGTGTTTTCCTTCACCTGAGGACGGAAACAGATCCAGTTTCCGAAACGTCGTGTTTTTATTTGTTATCTTAAAAACCAGGACGATGGATAGAGTCCAAAATCCCAACATATCAGAGATGAATATGTCTAATATTATACTGCAGGATCCTGCTGCACTTCATTTTGTATCAAATGGTTTCGCAGGAGATAGAGAGGACCAATCAAACCCACAAACACTAACAAGAGGGATGCACTGCATAACACAACATGCAGAAAAACCCACCACTTCATGAAAGTACACAACAAGTTACCAAATATACACTAACACACATAATACACACACACACAATATACAAAATTCTAATAGAAGATATCACAAACATAGAGCTGAGTTAGTTAAGCACAGCGACAACTTTACCTTTTTTTATTGATCAATGCTGCAATTCAGAACTAGTATCAGTATTCCTGTATGCCTGAAGACGACCTCTGTCTCTTTCAGAATTATTGTTGTGTAGACTGTCCCATTATATATATTTAGAAGATATCTGCACATGTTACAAATATACATGCGCATAGAAGGGCCCACATAGTAATGACCAAAAAACCAAGATATGGAAGCACAGCAGTTTCCTTGTTTATAATTTTAAAACACCTGATGATTACCTTATAAGTCAAAACAAGTAATGATAACTTTTAATAAGTTAGAATCTATATAACGTCTAAAAATTTTAAAGTGAATAACTTTTAGGAAGTTTCATAGAAAGATGTGCTGCACGTGAGACTGTGAAACCATTTGATAAAGAATATATTTTACTGTATAAATAACACCATATTTAAAATGTTCATGCACCTTTTCTTCACACCTCTGTTCTATCCATCAAAAAATTAATTAAACTAGGTTCTTTTATTTCACTGTATCAACTAGTGGCAGTATATACAGTACATCTCCATGTTACATAATTATTTCCTTATGGCAATTATGAAACATGACTATAGATCTCACAAATTTGATGTTACAGAAATTTGGGATAATATTAAATTTATTTTAAACATAAAATGCAAAATAACAACAAATCCAGAAAAAAATAATTATTTTGTAATGATAATCTGTTAAGCAAGTCAGAACACATACACACATGCGTGTCATGTTAACATGGTTGCTATCTCATTTTAGACTGTGAGGTGTGTTATCCTTACTTAAGATGTTTGAAAAGAGGCCACCACATTCAAGCACGAACACCTATTATTCTCTCCAATGAATAACAAAATGTGTTTCTATTACAACTGTGGACTGAAAATATTTCCACAGGAAAACATCCCAACTTATAACATCAAGTCAACAGACAAATAAAGTTTCATTCAAGAATGTCATGATACTGACATGCTCCTTCTGTAATGCAAAGGTGTGGCTGTAGTGTCAAACTAGATAAGGCAGGATATCTGAAGGGTGAGCCATGAGAGACATGGGACAATGTAACTATGGCCTATTTACGATACATGTACGTAGTGTGTTCAAAAAGTATTGAACCTTTGGTTGGCAGAAATACATTTATTGATTTGGAGGTACAAAACCCTAATCCCCTTCAAAGTAGTCTCCTTAGTAATGCACACACTTCTCCCAGTGCTTCCGCCATTGTTGGAAACACTTCTGGAACGCATCTTTTGGAATGGTGATCAGCCAGGCCGTCACATTCCGCATGATGTCTTCTCTTGACTCAAATCGGTTTCCTTTCAGCGGCATTTTCAGCTTGGGAAATAGCTAAAAGTCACATGGAGCCATGTCAGGGGAGTAGAGAGCCTGACGAACCACAGGGACGTTGTGTTTGGCGACGAAAGTCTGAATCAGATGCGCAGTTTCGGTACAAATTTCGCGGACACTCTCCTCATGCCCAAATCCTCGGTCAAAATTGAATGCACCAATCCAATGCTTACCCCTATCTCGTTCGCAAGTTCTCGGACTGTGATACAATGGTCCTCCATGACCAAAGTCTGCACTTGCTCAATGACATTCTCATTTCGGCTTGTTGAGGGTCTGCCTGAATGCAGTTCGCTGTGCACTGATGTGTGGCCATCTTTGAAGCAGTTGTACCACTCCTTTATCTGTGAGTTGCTCATGGCATTGTCCCCGAAAGCCTGTTGAAGCTTGCAAATAGTTTCCACTTTGGTATCGCCAAGCTTTTGGCAAAATTTGATGCAATATTGCTGCTCATGTTGTTCCGTCATTTTACACCTTACTGGAATCTGACAAGCGCTCACTACATGTCCTCACTCATAGGCCAACTCCCAGCGACTGACGCTTTCTGCGGGCGGGAAAAAGTTCACGACTGCGCATGAATGTCCCCTCCACATCTCCACCGAAGGGAGTCTCCCGCACTTCATTGGTTTACGTGGAAAAAAGAAAGCTCGATACTTTTTGAACACACCGTAGAAGGAATTTGCTGTCGCCTATGTTAATGAACCATCATGATTTAGGGTGTGACTATAGACAGGGTATGGATTGGCGAATGGATTTATTGACCACTTATACACACTGCTTGGAACTACAAGTAAATAAACTGCTATTGCTAATCTCCACAATTCACAAGTCACCACAGCACCTGCCAAGCCTTCTTCCAGCCTATTGTGCCTTCATCAGCCATTCCCTGGCAACGGCTTCTAACAGCGGAGAATCTTCAGCTTCACGTGCTCAGGTTCCATCTTCACAGCCTCCCATACAGAACTCGACTCTAAACTTCTGTCAACTGACAACTAATTGGATCACCCCAACTGTCTTCCTTATAACCACTTTGCATGGACTGAGTAGAAAACACCATTTCCAACAGTAACTCTATTGTTGTGTTCCTATTGGTTGCTGTAGGAATGTGTTTACTGATCTGTTGCCTAAACCTAATGTTCATTCACCTATTTCATAGCAATGGGTATACATGCCACAGTACGAGTATTGTACCAGCTAGATCAGGTTTCTTAATACAGTTTCTGCTATGCCTCTCATAGTTTGCATGCAATACGGATATGGTAAACATGAACAAATCCTTATATTTAACCTATGATAAGATAAGTGTTACTCACTTTACCATCCAAGGTGAGCGCCATGGCATGTTTACCTCCAGAGTGGACTGCTACTTTCTTGACCACATACTGACTAAGGGCAGTGATCTGACGTGGCACGGATACATTATTATTGTGTCCAAGACCCAAACGACCATTGGTGCCTTCTCCACATGAATATAGCTAAAGAGAGAAAGGAAGTACAGACTCCTCCTTCAAGTTACGTTGAGGATCTGGTAAAGTGAACATTAAGTTTGCTGTCCTCTGGGATGTGATGCTTGCCATGTCATTTCGTAGATGGACACCAACATTTTGATGGAAGCTGCCACCTTCATCTTGAGAGCAGAAGAATGTTGGTATATATCTACCAGATTACAGAGGGGTCACACCCAAGGACATCCAACCAGAAATTACTCTACCTTGACTAAACAAATTGTTATGGAAACTTCTACTGGCCACTACTCAAGTTTACTCTCAACTCACTCACTTCTGTCTAATAATGCAAACACAACTTTTTATTTCAAATGTCACTTAAAATTACATTTAAAATTAATAAAATGTCTTTGAAATGTCATTTGTTGCTACATGTTTCGGCCTAATGAGGCATAATCAGGCAACTATTAATTGAAGGAATCACTACACTGCATGGGCAAGCATGTCATTATTAACATGCTGTTACTGCATGCCATATTTGTGAATGTAGGCTCATACTTTCTTCAGGTTACTTGTACATTGCGGTGTTCATGTTGTGTTCCCTGTGCGTGGTTTACCTAGGTCAGGCATGTGTCCCTTGTACTGATGACAATTTAAAGACAGGTTATGAATTTTAAATAACATTTAAAATAAAAAGCTGTGTTTGCACTTATAGACAGAAGTGAGTGAGTGAGATATTAATTCACCAGGATGCTGAAATATAATATTCTCAACATTAAATTTGGTACATATGGGGCAACATTCAAATTCTGCACTGTGCTCACTAATCAAAAATTAATAAAGGTATGATACAGTGTCATGTAAGAGGTGGTTGGTACATAAGCAGGAAAATAACTTAAGATTACGGTCTTCTGAATTGTGACATCCTGTAGCATAGTTCTGGAGGAACTTCCTTCCTACATTTTCAATGCAGAAAAAATGGCACTTTATGTATGCTGAAAATGGAGGCAGGATATTCTTCTGAAATGCTGGTGCCTGTCTTTCAGACTACACAGCATCACATCACAGAATACCATAGCTTTACAATTTATTGTTCTGTGGATCTCAAATCTCACACAGGAAATCGAATTTGAATACTTTTTTTTTATTGCTAGTGGTGTGGACTAAGTCCCTTGTACTGTGGCCACTTCTGGCCTATTGTACCAGCCCCTGATGATGGGTGAGGGTCATTGTGAAGCAACTGGTGGAATTAAGATTGGCAGGGGAAACCGAAGTACTCGGAGAAAACCTGCCCCAGCACCACTTTGTCCACCACAAATTCCACTTGACCAGACCTGGGATCGAACCCAGGCCGCCGCGGTGGGAAGCCAGCGACTAACCACTTGAGCTAGGACATGGCCCATTTGAATACTTACTTTTCCTTCAAGAGAAACAATGAAGAGAGATTTTGATCCTCCTGCAATGAGAACAGGTTTGAGAGCAGACAATGCCTCAGAATATACAGGCAGCTTCACTTTGGATCCTTTGAGTCCTCCAAGCTGGTCCTTATCATTCAGTCCCCACACAAATACTTTGGTGCTGATCTCTGGTCTGGAATCCACTGCATGTCCTTTCTGCTGAGTTGCAAATATACTCGCATCCTGTTGGAAAAAATTATGTTCCTCAACAGGGCTCAACAAATCCAAGGCACTGAGTCATCAAAGTGCCTGATACCATCACTGTGATATGCAATGTTTTCTGAAATTTTTTTAATATATTCATATAAGAAACTTTTTTTAAATTCATAGCTTGGAGTTCAAATTCCATCATGCAGACTGCATCTTGAGCTGGTGTTGACACTCAGTCTTTTGTTCAAATTAAGTCATTCATTGGTGGAACACTGTATTGGTGCCACATCAAGAAGTATCATGGATTGACCCTTTCCATATCCCCACCAAACTGTTATGCTTCCCCCCTCCAGCATAATTCCTTATAAGATCTAAAAGTTTGTGATGTTGATACATTAGTACAAATATTATGTTTCTGGACATCATCCATCGTCCTGCTTTTATCTAAAACACTCTCATGTTTATATTTCAAAACAACGTTTTCGAGACTGGAGTCTGTCTCCGTCCTCTGGTAAAACCTACTCAGTTGGGCCCAATCAACAGAGCTAGTATAGGTGTCTGGAGAAAGGGACAAGCTTTATCAATTGGACCTAACTGAGTAGGTTTTAACTGGAGACAGACATAATCCAGTCTCTGAAACATTGTGTTCTGAAACATAAACAGGACAGTGTTTTAGATAAAAACAGTATGATGGATAATGTCCAGAAACATAATATTTGTACTGACCTATATTCCCTTTGAGTCATCTAACCATTCTGTGCGCATGGATGTGGGAGTGACAAGCACTTTGGACTTGCTGACATAGCATGGAGAGGAAAGCAACAGCAGGCAGAATTGGGGAAGCCTTGAGTGCTGTCATCCCAACCTTCCACGGGACTCCTTTCCATCACCTCAGTACAGTGATCACAACCAATCTGCTATGCACAACAGGGGGGCTCCCTTCAAACACATTGTGCTGAACACATCCTGAATCTGCATTGTATGTAAAGTCCTTATCTAGAAGTCACAGCAAGTTGGACTGTGCCAACTACTACAGCCTGCAAAGCAGCAGCAAACTTACAGATGGAGCTATTCAAAGATAAAATGTATATGAAAATGTACTTTGTAAGAGCTGATTATAAGTTTTTATTTTAATTTACATCTTCAATCTTGAAGATGAATGCAACAGCTTCCCCAGAAACATTGATTTCCATTTATAAGACTATACAGTGTCATAATCCAAAACAAACCAATCTAAAATCTGCTGTATACACTGGTAGATACATTGTGTATGTACTGCCAGCTCTACAGAAAGGGGACATACCTACCAAACTACACAGTGTCACATCACAGCACACTAATATCATAATGGTACTCATAGTTGGCTTACTGCTACAATGACAAAAACCAAGCCAACCATCTTTGTATGTCTAAGTAGAAAGTCTATCATAAAATCTATAGTTCACAATGCGCAATCAGGCTAGTTGATGCAAGTAGTAGCGGCTCTGATCTGTATTCAAAAGCCACCTAGTTCGAATCTCAGTGTGGACAATGACATCCTGACTGAGATTCTTCATGGTATTCCTCAGTTCCTCCAGGATATTACCTTAATTTTGACCTCAACTGCTTCCTTGCACAGCCTTTCCAACTGATTGAAATGAAGTGAATTTCTTTATGGTCTATAAATCCTAAGCAGGATACGGAACAAGTCACAAGTTACATATTTTAGTACAGACAATTTTACCTTACAATTTCATGTCATTCTTTATTTACATTGAAGTATTGATCTATAGAGGAATGAGCATGTAGATAATCCTGTGGGAACCTCCCACACTGTAACATGCAGCTTCACCGGTCTAACAGACAACATACAACTTCTACCTCGTAAGACACCGAGAGACAATATTTATACAGCACTCGCTGTCTGGCCCTTTGGAGATCAACATGGGCACTGGCCAATCAGTGCTTACAATCACAGCTGCATCACTAGCTCCACCCAGTGGTAATGGTATAAAAATGCGGGGTTCAAAACTAACTATCATTAGTCTTCTTCAGTCCACTGATCAAAGCCATCATAGCTACGCTGCCATCATGAAGCAGTCACTGCGGTAACTCTCCAGTAACAGTGCCGAAACAACAGACTCTGCCAGCGCACGTGCCATAGGCTGCTGATCCTACTGGTGCATGCAATGCCACATCACTGGCCAGGCCGCCGAATGGCCATAAAGAAGACCGGTCAAACAAACGGCCCCTTTCAGGACCAGCAAAGTTTTACCATCATCACCGGGCGGAGCTGACCACTGCCAGTACCTTTCAGGCAAGCTTCACGCTCTAAGTGCAGCGAACATTATTGTTACAGACTCAAGCAGTTGTCTGAGCAACACTGACACCCACAATCCTAATAATTCTAATAATTATTCACTATTACTCAACATTAAACAATCTGAGTTACTGAAGGCATAATTAAATAATCTACAAAAAACAAACAAATATGATGACAAAGACATCTCAGTTTCATGGCCCATTTCTAAAAATAGCACTGACTGAACTGAAAATTAATATTATGCTGCAATATTATAGGTCACACAAAACCCATGAACCCAATTTTGCACATCCCTGCACCAAAGCTTTCATGAGGCAAGAGGAAAAGAAGTGGATAAATTGCAATTGGGTTACTGTACCTGAGTATCATCATTATCAGACGCCAGGAAAGACAATGCGGTTGGTAACTGGCCCTCCGATGTTCGTTTCTTACCAACAATGCTCAAAGCATGAATTTTGCAGTCTATGCCACCATTTCTGCACTGCTTAATGGCAATCTCAATAAAAGGATAATACTGTGAAACAAAAAAGGCAGATGGCATTATTAGACTGACTCAGACCAGCTCCTTCCAGGGCACCCAACACTTTCTCCTGAGGATGCAAGTAGATCCAGTTTCCGATATGCTGTGCTACATTCAGAATAGTACACAATGGATAAAATTATGAAACCAAGTAACAGTAAGTGTAGTAAATGATCACCATATACCGTTTTCTCATTTACTGTTCAGTTTTAATGATCCCAAGTCCAAAACTTTCCTGCTAAATTTCCTTTGGTTTAGTGTTCAGTTCCACTGATCCCCAAAGAAACCATAAATGGAAGTTTAATTTACATAGATGTCAATCCTAATCATAACAAACATAGTTAGCGGTTTAAAGCACACATATGTATGTCCACTTTTGGTCAAACTGATTCTTAAATATGAGAGCTATTCGAAGAGTAACCTCCATTTATTTTAAGCAACTGATGTGGAAGCAGCAAAGAGCTTGAGCATGCGAGGTAGGATCACATGACTCATTCTCTCATAAACACCTAGTGTTTGTGCTTGTCTCTACAGAGTGAGTTATGATGTGTCCTGTGATTGATAATTCTGGCAGCTGCAATATTCACACTGTTATCTGCATTCTTCATGCTAAAAACATGAGTGCTGTGGAAATCCATCATGAATTATATGCAGTTTACTGAAAACTATGCAAACTGAACATAAAATTTTTATGCTATAAGAAACTAACAGGTAAATAAAATCAATTATTCTGTTTTGAAACTATAATTCTTATACCAGTATAAAGTTTATTTATATCAGTGTTGAAGAAAGCAGTCTTCTGGGATTTGGCACCATGTATATGTGGTGTTAACCGACGTTTCGGAGGAACATATGGCCTCCATCTTCAGGGTAGAAGGAAAAATATAAGACATCTGCAGCTGTGTATATTTCCAACACCAGTCTGCTTTTACCGGTTCTCACGGTCTCTTCACCTGCAGATTTCTTATATTTTTCCTTCTACCATGAAGATGGAGCGATGCGTTCCTCCAAAACGTTGGTTAACGCCACATATACACGGTGCCAAATCCCAGAAGACTGCTTTCTTCATAGTCACCGCTGTGAAAACCTCAAATCTTATATCAGTGTTATTTATTTTAATACACTGACATACCAATCCCTTTAACTATTTAAATACTGAATCATGTTTATTGTTAATTCACTTCCACCATTTTGCTTTTACACATTTTGAGAGTTAGATGATGGTTCCTCAGTACTGAAACAAGTTACAAACAATTTAGATTGATGTGAACAGACATATATATAAAGATTGTTCTGACTAAAACAACAGTATGCTATATTACAAACAAAATATAGAAATATGAATTTCAAAGGAACAAATATTCTACATGTAGATAAAGTCAGAAAAGTTCTATTTCACATGTGTACATCAGAAAGAGAGCTCAGATAGCTCATTCAGTGTAGTGACTAGGCAATGGGCTGGATGAGCAGGGAAGAGAGACTTCATTCCTGGAAGGGGAAAGACATTTTTCTCTTCTCCACAGAGTCAAGACCCTCTCTGGAGCCCACCCAGCCTCCTATCTAACATATACAGAGGCTCCTTCAACAGTACCAAAGCAACTGGCACAGAAAACTCATATCCACCTTGTGCAGTGGTTAAGAATGTGTGAAGCTATACCTACATTTCCCCTTGTATCTTTATGATGTAGTGCTTAATTAAGTAGAGGGACAACTTTGGCTTTATTTATCTATCTATAATGAAAGAAGGAAAGGCAATCTTACCTCCTTTAGATCAGACAAAAGTAACACCACTGTGTCCGTATTACGAATGTTTATGCTGGCCAGTTCATTCATAGCAGCAAATGAGTCACCTCCGCTGACTACAACAAGCGAAGGCGTATAGCTGCTGTCTGATGGGTCCACCGTTAATTTTAGGGAATGCACCAACACATCTGGCTGCATTTCCAACCGAATCCAGTGCTAAAACATTTATAAACACAGCATAGCAATATACTTTTCTCTCCCATTGTACAAGAAACAAGTACCTATTAATAGAGTGCACAGCAGACAGTATGACTCACCTTTCCCTGAGAACCACAGCTCTGCCAATATTTGTCTGAGCCATCAACAAGACGATGTGCCCAAGCTTCTCGTGATGAAACACTCAGGGTTTTGATACATTTTGACCAGTCTTCAATTAGTCCATTGTTCAAAGCTAAGGACATATCCTGTCTATAGTATCTCCCTGGTTTCCCTGCAAACACTGCTGCACTACCTGCAGGCAGAGCAAAATAGCATTTTAAGATTACTGACTTCTGAGAGATCATTACCAACACTTCAGAGGGACCTGCCGCCTCTGTCATCTGGGCATAAGAACTACCCTGAAGATGGAGACAGTAGTATACTCTGAAATATTGCTAATCTATCAGACATGGCATCACATCTCAGAAGACAGTAATAATAATGTTTACAGCAGTTGATGCGAGTACCTCAGAGCTCACAAGAAGCATAAACCACTCACCCGGTTCAACTATTCTGTTGAAACTATGTCGATGAATCTTTTTGGTATAGAAACAATTTTCACAGTAATTAAAATCATCACACGCTTTGCATTTGAATCGTTGCCCCGTGATAGGATACATGAGGCAACCGTCGCAGCTTATGCCTTGATGACAACAGGGAACTACTTCCATCTCTGTTATGATCCCAGTCCAGTTGCTCTGATGTGGGAAGTCTATGCTCACATCTCTTCCATTGCTGCTTATATCTGAAATACAAGTATATCATAGCAGCACACAACTTGGGACATCTCTTGTGTGTCTGAATATAGAGGTCACCTGACTTTATGATCAGGATATTACAACGCCACACTATGAATACCTGACTGTAAAAGTTAAAGAAAGGTGAAGTTGTCCCTGTGCCTAATTAATTGAGCACTATGCCATGAAGATGCATAGGGGAGTAGAGGTACAGTTCCACTATTCTTGACCTTGGCACAAGACGGAGGTGAGAGGTCAGCTTCACACCTCAGCTGGTTTAGAAACAGCCCCTTGTATGCACTGGATAGGAGGCTGGGTGGGCCCCAGAGCTTGCCTAGAAGCTGTGGCATGAAGAAAAATCTCTTGCTCCTGCTTGGAATCGAACCCCAACTGTCCAGCCTGTAGCACATCACTATACTGACATCTATCAAAACTCTCAATTACCTGAATGTTATTAACAAAAGCTCAAAAGTTTCCATTTATTTCACACAAAGTACTGAGACTTTTAATTTAAAATGAAATGCAAAGTTCTACATAGGGGTGCTTAAAAATCAATTGTTACTTAAAATATCAGGATCCTGCCTTGAAGGACACCTATTTTATGACTCTTAATGTAGGTAACATTTATCTTGTGTATATACTTATGGGATAACCTCTGATGGTATGGCATTCACACTGAGGTCTGTAATACAGGGGTAGATGGAGAGGCTTGATTGCCAGGTGGCCAGTGTAAAAGTTGAAATCTTAATGGGGCAGGAAGAGAGGGAATTTTTAGGTTTGCTTTTTTGAAGAACATATCACCTCCATCTTCAGGGTTGAAGAGTAAGCCAAGCAAGAAACTAGCAGAAGCAGGCAGGAAGCTAAGCTTACTTTTCAAAACTGAAGACAGAGGTGATATATTCCTCCATAGTATTTTGAATTGTTTCATTTTTGGTCCGTTACACTATCAATCACAAGTTGTCAATGAAAAATCCGTCGAGTGTAACAATGTTTTTAGGTCACTTATTTATCTCACTTGCCTTACATGTTTCGGTTCAAGAGAAACCATCATCAGAGGCACGTATTACAAACACATGAAAACACTGGCGTTGTTTAATGTACACAGTGTGTAAGCTGCGTGGACGCTGTTACAGATGTCGGAGTGTAAAAGCACAACACTTTCTAGTAGCATTGAATGCACGTACAACTCTTGCATTCCATCTGAAAATTGCCCTAAAATTGAGCCGTCAATGTTAAAATATTTAAAAGTTTAAAACATTTAAAGTAAAATGTTCGGCTCCTTCTTGTTGATTCGTCCCGATGATGGGAAATGTCAACTTGAGGTTGTGTAGGCTGCAAAGATATTGTATTACATTAGGTTTTATATATTATTATATATTTAATTTTAATTTATTTTGCTTAGTGTTGTATTTGATCCTTGCTTACCTTATGGGCGGATGTTTCTTACGCGTTGTGTGTTGTGTACTGCAGTGGGAGTTCTACGTCAGTGTTATTTAAAGCCTTGTGTGTTATGACGTGGTAGGGGGTGTGTTTATACAAGCAGTAATGAGGTCGAACATGCTGTTCGACCTCATGCAACTTACACACTGTGTACATTAAACAACGCCAGTGTTTTCATGTGTTTGTAATACGTGCCTCTGATGATGGTTTCTCTTGAACCGAAACATGTAAGGCAAGTGAGATAAATAAGTGACCTAAAAACATTGTTACACTCGATGGATTTTTCATTGACAATTCCTCCATAGTGTCAGGCCCTCAGTAAACTACACAGTATGTATTATAAACAGACATCTTCACCATTGAACCAATTTGTACTGCATTCATTTGAAGCTTATAACTGATGCATTACAAAACATATGAGATGAGTTAGTTACCTTCACAGGAAATATTCTCTTTCAGTACATATATGTGGTCTGACAATAAAGTTCGCGAATTTATTGCAGCAGAATTGCTACATACCTCACTGCTGATTGTCACTGTGGTCACCTTCAAAGTACTCACCTTGGGAACCTATGCACTGACCCCAGTGCCTAGGCTACCTTTCAAAACAATTTTGTAACTGGTTTTGTGGAGTGGCCTTCAGAGCTGCCATCGTATTATTCCTGATGTCATCAATGTCATCAAAATGCCTTTCTTTCGATATTTCCTTTATCTTCGGGAACAGAGAAAAATTATTGAGGACTAAATCTGGTGAATAGGGAGGGTTTTCCAGAACAACAGTTATTTGTTTACTAGCTAGAAACTCCTTCACAGACAGTGTTCTTCGGTGAGCTCCTTTGGGACCATTTTCACACACACCTTTCTCATGTCAAGATCTTCAGTTCAGATTTTCGTAACCGTTTCTCTGTCAATGTTTGCCCGCTCTGCTATGCTCGTGACAGTCAGCCGATGATTTGACAAACTTTTGCAATGTTTTCTTCAGTTCTGCTCGTTGCTGGCCGTCCCGATCTCTATGTCAGTGACATTTTCTCTTCCCTCAGAAAAACATATCACCCACTTGTATACTGCTGTTTTCTTCATAGCATTATCCCTGTAAACTTGCACTAACATATCTCTGATTTCGCTTCCACACTTGCCAAGTTTAACAAGAAGCTCCGAGATTCTCATGACAGCACACCAGAACACACTCAGACAACAGACACCAATCAAACAGGCTGCCACAGATCAACAACATAGCTGTGAAATGCTGATATGCAAACATTATCAAACCATACTGAATTTTCTGTCCACTGCTGTCATGACAAGAACATGGTACTGACTTCGCAAACTTTATTGCCAGACCACGTAGTGTTTGATATAAATGTTATGTTTTATTTGTGAGGCCAACATACTTGTCACTACACCAACACTGCTGTGATTCACACAACCCCATTTGTACTTTGGATTCTTCACCGATGTCTTCACTCTCACTCTGTCGCCAACCTTGATGGGGTGTAGACTCGGGTGGGAAGGTGGGAACCCTAGAAGCTCAATGTGGATAAACCTTACCCAGTATGTGCTGCCCTTATTTTGCCAGTCAACCTAAAAAACATTGCTGCATTAGTTTCTCCTACTCAGAATGAAAGATCTGTTCTAGAAGTTACAGTAACATCTTAATGACATAAAAAAGGAATATCACAGACCATAAAATATAGCAACTGAGGTATAAAAGGCACAGAGAAGACCCAGAAACTGGCAGTGGGATATTACTTACTTACTTACTTACTCATGGAGCCGAGCCCTTCTGGAGGAGCCGCCAATTCTGCAGCTACTCAAGAATTTCCCAACAGTTTATGGAACCCGAAGGTTCATTACCGTGTTCACAAGAGCCCTCCACTGGTCCTTATACTGAGCCAGATCTATCCAATCCATACTATCCCATCCTGTCTCTCTAAGATCCATTCTAAAATTGTCCACCCACCTATGCCTTGGTCTTTCCTGTAGTCTCTTTCCTTCTGGTTTTCCCAACAATATCCTATACACATTCCTTGTCTCCCCCATTCGTGCTACATGACCTGCCAACCTCATCCTCCTTGAGAAAAATGTTAAAAGAAGAGGAAGGAACTGAGGAGACTTTCTGGTTGAAAAATTACGGTTCAACAGGGATAAATGAAAGTAGGTTTGTAACTGAGCAAAATGAGACTTGAAGATATGAAGATTACTGCCATCTGAGATGTGAAGAAGTGTATTCTGACAGCAAGGCACCAATGTTTCGAGGAACCTGTGTCATCCAGGTACCATAAACTTGGAAAAGTTTCAAGGAGGGGGAAAGCTGATGGTACTGGGGGGGGGATGCAGAAAGAATATTAACGCATAAGAGCGTGCATGAATGCACGCACATGCACACACAAAATTATTTTAATGAAATAAAAATTCTGAACACCATCAAAATAATAGTTTGCCATTTACATAACATGTAACACTGGTTACTTATCGAAATATGAACCTCACAGATCAGCAAGTTTCTTTCAGTGATATATTTTCTTTATAAACTTTGTACAAAATTGTGATTGGAAAACCTGCAAAACAGAGACCTTCTGGAATACCTACACACAGGTTGAAGGATGAAATTAAAATGCAGCTTAGGGCAATGGTGTATGAAGGTGTGGTCTAGATTTGTCTGGGTCAAGATACAGTTCAGTGAGAGGCTCTTATGACTACAGTAACAAACCTTCAGGTTCCATAAGAGGCACAAAAAAAAGTTGTCAATAGATGAGTGACTATCAGCTTCACAAGCACTCCATTTTGTGATGGCAGTTATATGAAGTTATACATATTACATTCATACATTAATTCTTGCAGAAGCAATAATTTTTATGACATACTTGTACTATAAATTGGCAAAAAATACAACCACTCTACTAATTTCTGTCATAATAAGATTTTGATTTAAAGAATAAACATTCTACACCTCCTAAAGTTTGCAATAAAATATTACTATACACTACTGATTTTAGGCTATCACATTGATTCACTGTTATTGCTGATTTTCCTCTTGGGCCTTTGCATCGAACAGGTATGGGCAGTGCTGCTGATGTACTGTAAGTACCCCAAAAATGTTAGCAATTCTGTCCACATTCCCATGGGGCACAGACCGAAGAGTAGAATCATCATCACTTTCTGAACACTGTCCCAGCACATGGGAGAACAGCTGAAACTGTGAGTTCTGCTAAATGATACCGAAGGTCAGAAGACATACCTGAACATTCAGATCGTGGAGACCTTCATTGTCGACTTTCAGTACACGACCAATGTCACCCTCGTGAACCTCCTCATATGTCTTACAACAACGTATAAGCATGCCTTCTGTAATATTATCACGGATATACATGGCATATTCGTCATTACTAAGGAAGTCTGAGCGCTGATTGTATCCTGTGGATGAGACTGCCTGCAACACAAAATAAAACCCACATTATGACACTGTAATGTAACGAAACTTCTCCAAGAAGACCAGGCACAATAGATCACTGTGGTCGCGGTGCAAGGGCCAAGAAGGCCCACCCCTTATACATTCATTCTCCAAGAAGACCACTGACCATTCCATCCATATGTGGGGGATGAGTAAGAATTTTGGTAGTACAGTACAGTAAACACTGTATGTATAAGTTACATAACGAATGTAGTGCAAGAACTTATTGTCCGTAATATTCATTTACACGAATAGCTGATGCAATAGGTAACTTCAGCCAAGTGTTAATAATTAAACAAGAACATACATAGCCATGTATATCACTACTTGTCTATCGGGTCTAAAAATGAATCAAATGTAATTCGGGTTACAGTTTCAAATTTGTTTTTTACAACTGCATTCTAAACTTTTTCCCGTAACTCAATAAATAAAGGCGTATCAACTGATATCTGTTTCTAGAGGGGTGTTGCCAAATTCCAGGCACAGTCACTGATCGGGGACAGGGGCGGTCTCTGAACAGGGGGTTTGTAGTACACTACCAAGGTCTAAATTACAATCAGTGCCAGAAAAATATGGTCTTTTTAAGGGTGGTCTCTTAGAGAAGTTTGACTGTACTATAATTTTTTTGGACTTTCAGCTCCTAATGCACAACATGTAGGCAGGTGTTGCACTCTGACAGCCAAATGAAATCATCTGAACACACGTTTGACTCTTCTGAGAATCTGTATATATAACAGCAATCATCCAACATGAAGAACTGTTCAAGCTTTTCACAGCATTGAAGATTCATGCCGTGGCTTTCTTGGCTAAGATGCCATGCATTCAGATAGGTGGGTACAAATGTTTCACAGGAACATACTGTCTGCATCTTCAGGACAGAAGATGGATATGCATTAGACTACACAATGTTATAACCAGAGCAACATACCACTTCCAACTTCAGGGCAGAAGAGGGACGTTCCTCCGAAATGCTGATACCCACCTACATGGTGCCCTAACCCAGACGACCACAGTGTGTACTTACTTTGCTACCAGATTAAATACGTAACTCTTGACAAAGACATTCATGGTGACCAAAATAAGACAAAATGTTATAATTATCTGGTTACCTCAAATGAGGCAGACAAGTGGTTATTAAGTGTATTTCACGGTACTGATTACTTCCTGATTCAAGTCTGTGAGAGGAATTTGTGATGAAAATAGCATGTAACATTAGAATTACCCCTTCTGTGTGAGACACTGTCAACTCTTCCACTTCCTCAGATATGGAATCTGTGTCAGAGAGCCCATCGAATGATGAAGCAGTGTCAGAATTACAAAGAGCATGGTCTGGATGCTCCAAGAGCCATCCGACCAATGTTTCCGGACTCGGTGGAATTTCACTTGCAATTCCTTAAAGAAAACAAAGTGCATGGGTTAAATCCTCTATACACATCTCACAGTTCCAGGGAACTGGTTCGCTGGCTATAGTTTCTGGTCATTCCTCCAAAAAAAACATGAGACCGTATCCTAACGCTAACCCATGGTGTGGGAATGTCAGAGGAGGCTTGTGACAGGTAACGATAATCTACACTTGACGATAATGTGTCTCATCCATGACAATTTGCAATTATCTCTCATTTCTTTCACTGCTGTTACTACAAAACAAAACAAACTCTGTGGTTTTAGTCAGCAAGTGAATTATACCGACAGACACATAAGAAAATAAACTAATTTAAATAACCACAACATTTCTGGTGATAGCTTCTCACAGAACATCTGACAGAACTGAACATATTCTTATGTGATGTAGTTGGTCTTTTGGGAGGTACAGTTTTGGAGGAAATTATATTAGGAATTATAACATTCTGTTGAAAAACATTTTTTTCAAATTCATTATTATATTATTTAAATAATTTTCCTGGTGAGCAAAGAGCGGCCGGTGCATAAGGCTGACAACCTTACCGCCATCTTTGAGCTGATTGTCTAGATAATTTGGGACCCTCAATGTCTCGGAACCCTACGGGCCTTCATGGCCTGTTACAGGGATAGCTTTACTTTCTTTCACTTTATTATTATATTATTGACTGCATTCCACATCTGCTACTGGCACAAGACTCCATCATCCATAAGCGATACAGATTGTTCTGTCATCATCAAAAAGTTACTGGACCCCATTTCCAGTATTTGTCCACTGGCAGGAAATTAAAAAATTCTGATACAGCAAATTTTCTTCCATACGACCGCCTGCATAGGGTATAACATACCTTGATTCATAAAGTAGATGGACTTTATCTTATATAAAGCATTAAAACAAACTCATTTTATGATTGCTAATAGCAGCAAAACCAGGTCTCACCAAAAAACTTAATGGCACATTCCACACTCCGCCGAGCAAAGCCCATCTCTGTGAGCTGCCCAACTAATGGGGACAATGGTGGTGAAGGTGGACGTATCCTCTTTGGTTTACTCCCTGTTTTGTTGCTTGGAGACATGGGAGAAGGCAAGGAGCAATCACTGGCAGGTGTAGCCACTTCGCTGCCCCTCTGCATTTGTGCCCTCACCTCAGTAGCCAAGTACTGAGACACATTTAGAGCTGCAGCCTGCGCAACACAAAACAGTCCTTACGCTTCAGCTTTATGTGCTACATCTGACTGATGTCCTCTTCCTGTTTTATCCTGAGGAGTCACAGCTGCTTACAGACACATCCAGACAGGGACCACGGTCTCTGGTGAGAACCTAACAGTCACCCAGTTAGTTAAGATATTCTCACCTTCTATGGAACCGGAAAGTTAATTATATACACACAGGTGTTGTCACTAGGCTCTCTCTACAATTTTCATTATTATTCAGTTTGTAAATGCATTTTTTTTATTCCTAGTGGGGTGGGACTAAGTCTCTTGTACTGCGGCCACTTCTGGCCTATTGTACCAGCCCCAGACGATAGGTGAGGGTGATTGTAGAGCAATTGGTGGAATGAAGATTGGCAGGGGAAACCAAAGTACTCAGAGAAAACCTGCCCCAGCATCACTTTTTCCACCACAAATTCCACTTGACCAGACCCAGGATCGAACCCGGGCTGCCACGGTGGGAAGCCAGTGACTAACTGCTTGCGCTATGGTGTGGCCCTGTAAATGCATTTAGTACTTACGCTGTATATCAGTTATTAAACTAAGTATAATCACAACAGACATTAGAAAAACAAAAACAATTCTCTTTTGTCCTGTCTCCTATGTTCTACTCTTCATGTTTTAAACACAGCAGCCTTGCTTTCTGCCTTGCACAAAAATGTGAAGGTAGAGTCATTAAGAAATAAGACAACAAAATCCAGTCCTTCAAAACAAATTTCATAAAAAATACCTAACTTCAATAACTTGAGATATTGGGTTTCCGGACTTCAATAACTTGAGTTCTGGAAAAACAGCTACATCCAAGATTCTAAATTTAACAGACTAGCAATATGCACTACATAGTTCGGCTATCTAGAGAAATTCTTTTGCAAAGGTGGACACTACAATATTGACTCATGCATAACTTCCACTGCGGTTATCTTCTATCTCTGTTCATCACTACTTGCTAAGATAGTGATAGAACAGTGACAGAACAGAAAGCTTTAGCCATTTATGCACAGGGTGATTCACACAGAGAAGGCCTCAAATTAATAATTATTGTGACATGTCAAGGAACTGCCAGGCAATGGCTCAATAAACACCCAACAATACATGCATACAGCAATGGATCAATAGAGTTATGCAACCCACTTCCAGGCAACAGTTCAGTAAACACACTTCCACACAGGCACAATGACATCACACTCCAACTTTACTAGTTATCATGTGATTTGTTTTCTGTGTTGTCCGAGCGGTGCCTATAGAACGAAGGCATGTTTAAGCTTAGATTAGTGGAAAGTCCAGGAGGGCTCAGCAGCTGGGAGTACAAGGACGAGAACAGAGTGTGAACTGTGAACATTAATCGAGTAGATATTAGGACAGAGGAGTACAGAGTGACTGAAGACGAAATAAGAAGAAGACTTCTAGTGATTTGAGATGCTAGTTGCTGTGTTGAGATCCATTTCTAGGAGAAAACTAGTGGAAACTGAGAATCCTTGGGTGTGTGTAACAGTGAACTGTAAATTGCAGAAACAGAGATAGCGCTGCATTAATTGTAATTAAGAGGGAGAGTGTAACCAAAGTGCTAGAACCCATTACTTTCATCATGGGTACCACCCTATATATGACATTATAATCACATGATTTACCAAAATTTGGCAAGTACACACCTTGCTTGATGTTGAGATAAGTAGGTTACAGAGGATGTAAAAACTGGTTTGCCTCAACCTGGAAATGCAGGCCCATATCATGCTCCATGTTCGCATACATTATCCCACCAAACAACACATGGAATCACAGACTGAAAGGAATGGTGTGAAACAAGCAGACAAACATCGGTGCTGTAAAGTTTAGTTTCCATCAATAAGTGGAATATTAATGCCTAATTTATCACTTTTAATTTGTAGACTCCTCTCAGTAAATCACTCTGTATACAGACTATATAATCTCTTTAGAGAGGAAACCAATGAAAACTTACCTGAATATCACTTTTTCCAAATACAGCTTTTAATGGTGAAGGTTGAGTAGCTTTAGCAATTAATTTTTTAATAAGTAATGTTTCAGATATAGGATCAAGTTCCTCTCCTTCATTAAGGACCTCAAGAGATGGTGATGATCCTAGTGTATGGTGCTTAAGGACATGCCGGAGCAGATTCTGATGTCTAAAGAGAACGCTACATGCATTCATGGCTGCCAGACGTTGTTGCTGATTCCTCAGTAATGATATATTCACTGTTCCTGCCAACAGGCAAATGAGTGTTACATCTCTTGCATAGTGTTTATATACATTTACAGATATCCTTCATTCAGAATGCATAAAAGCCATTGCAACGATTCAGGATTTACTGACATACACAACCACTTTAAAACAGAGAGCAAAACTCTTTCTTCAGATGATATATTTACAACGAAATTGAAGCAAACACTTTTTATTTTCAGACTGCAGCCTTCTGTGTTATGACGTTATATAAGTCTCAAAGATTGTTACCGAGGTTTTGGAGAAATATAACACTTCCACCTTCAGGACAGAAGTGAATCAAACTAGGATGTGGGTAAATTATTTAGGAAGGGAGAGATCATACTGAAGAGAGTTTGAAGGTTGGTCAATCAAAGCCAGAGACTGGGGGAGAGGAAACAGAGCCTGAAGGCCATAACGTGGGATTTTACAAAGAAAGGTTCATAAAAGGGTCAGGATAGAGGAAAGCCAAGTCAAGTGGAAGTGTATGCCTTGTCCTAAGAAAGGCTTGTTTTGTTCCTTCTGGGAGTAAATGAGAGGTTTCCATCACATACACAGAGAGAAAGCATCTTCCTTGCTCATGTTGTTGGAATGCTACCCTGATGTCACCATAATATTGTGTTGTCCTGCTGGATGCAATGACCCAGGTTAATGTTGTATTCAGCTACAGCTGACTTTCCCACTTAGTAAATACAGATATGGTCACGCCATAGCTCAAGTGGTTAGTCATTGGCTTCCCACCATGGCGGCCTGGGTTCGATCCCGGGTCTGGTCAAGTGGGATTTGTGGGGGACAAAGTGGCACTGGGGCAGGTTTTCTCTGAGTACTTCGCTTTCCCCTGCCAATCTTCATTCCAAAAATTGCTCCACAATCACCCTTACCTATCATCTGGGGCTGGTACAATAGGCCAGAAGTGGCCGCAGTACAAGGGACTTAGTCCCACCCCACTAGCATTAAAAAAATACAGATATGCTGATGGTGCCCTGTGATTCTTGTCTACATCACATTTGTTGTATCAGACATATGAACAAAGTCACTTACCAGGTACAGTCCCTAGTTGACGCTTGTCTCCATGATGTAGTGTCAACAGTGAGAGGAGAGTAGCCCATGTACCAAGCATGTGTTCAGACATAAGAGTCTTGTCCAAGACAAACTGAGCGGTTTGAGATGGCACCACAATCGACAGTGACAGCTTTTTTATAGTGCCTGTCTCATGCAGCTGGACGACCAGTTTCCCATGCTGACTGATCTGGCATATGGTCCCTAAATTATAAAAAGAATTTCTGGGAAAAACTGATCATCTCCTTTCCTTTAACATGACACAGACCACATAGAAAACAATGCATTCAGCTGGTGGAGACAGTGTTTTCTCAAAAGTCGGCCCAAAGTTACATAAATAGAAAATGGTACAGAAACAAATGGGTAAAATATGGTCATGGGTCCCATGGGACCAGGAACCAAGAATGACTCCACTGGTGATGGCCAGCAGCAGTTTATCTGACCTTACACACAGACACATAGACAGCAAGGTGATCTCATAAGCCTCCTTTTAGTTTTTCTAAATAAGGAAAGTAGTGTAAAAATTAAGGAAGTGTATGCATAATATAACAATTCTGGTGTTTAACTGATAACTTCTGATGTTGTTTTGTAAGCAATATAAAACGAGAGTGGATGAACAAGGACCTCCAGCATAAAATTTGTTTAACACTTTGACACGGTAATTTAAATTCCGCGGCTGCGTCTCCTGCGGTAANAACCTGTCCAATTAGTCAAAATTATGAAGTAAGCAACTGCTTTTACTGAATTATCTTGAAAACTGTGGGCCTTATGGAGAAGAGTATTGAGCACTGTCTGTTACACTCTTCTGTACAAATTTTGTTCAAAACACTCCACTTCATTTTGGCTTCTTGATTTGCCTATTTTTCAACCCTGAACATAGAGGTGCAATGTTCCTCTGAAATGTCAGTTGACTTTCAATGGACTTATGACATTATAGCACAAAAGGCAAAACCATTCATAAACCCTGCTGTGAGAATGTTGAATCCTACATTCATTATTATTGTCCAATTTTAACAAAAACTGAATGTGTAAGATTTGAGGCTTTCACGGCAGTGACTATGAAGCAAGCAGTCTTCTGGGATTTGGCACCATGTATATGTGGCGTTAACCGACGTTTCGGAGGAACGTATCGCCGCCACCTGCTTTTACCGGTTCTCACAGTCTCTTCGCTTGCAGATTTCTTATATTTTTTCTTCTACCCTGAAGATGGAGGCGATACGTTCCTCCGAAACGTCGGTTAACACCACATATACACGGTGCCAAACCCCAGAAGACTGCTTTCTTCAAAAACTGAATGTGTTGACACATTTTAGTAAAACTTCCAAAACATTAAATTTCATGAAAACCTATTCAGCAGTTGTCAAGTTGTTACACATGGACAGGTAGACACTGTAAAGCTAATAGCTGAATTACTTAAAACTTTTCATTGCAAACATGTAGTGTGACAGAAAACTAACAATATTTCAGGGGGAACCTTGTGCATACAACTTCAGGAAAGAAAATGTTGATAACATTCTACCAGGTTATATAGCATCACAGAAAGGAGACAGCACTCTTCATGGTGATGTAAGCTCAGTTTACATAAAAACAGAAAATAAGGCCCCATATTACAACTGGGTGCATACAATAGCATAGTTCCTTGAGGCACTATGCTATAGGCTGGAAGGTCATGGGTTTGATTCCCAATGAGGTCATTGGATTTTTCAATTTACCTAATCCTTCCAGCCACAATATGACCCTGGGGTCGACTCAGCCTCTGAGAGAAATGAGTACCAGGAATCTTCCCTGGGAGTAAAGGGTGTCTGGTGTGTAAGACTGACAACCTCACCACCATCTGTGAGTCAAATGTCTAGAAACTGCGGGAGACTCGACATCTCACAACCCTATGGGCCTCCACGGCCTTCTACTGGGATAGCTTTACCTTACCTTACCTTTACCCATATTACAATGTTAATTTGTTAGTGTTACTGAGACTCACCTAGTCCTAATCCTTCAGCCATTACAAGTCCTCCAATTCGTGGCCTGGAATCCAGTCCTCCAACTACTGACAGTGCTGTCATCACACCAGACTGCATGCCCAGTGACTGGTCCACTTCAACTTCATTAACCTTAAAGAACAAACAATAAATGAAGCTGTGATAGCTAAGTCAATATAACAACCAGGCTCTGAGCTGGCAGGCACAAGAAGTTTTTCTCTTCTCCACAGCATACAGACTAGCTCCGGCACTCACCCAGCTTCCTATCGAACAGGTACTGCAGGGAACTTTCCTTGGGAGTAAAGTGGGTGAAGTCTGAATCTGACCACTCACCTTCATCTAGAGCCAAGATTAAGAATGCATGGAGCTATACCTCCATTCTCCTAAGTGTCATCATGACGTGGTGTTTTATTAAGCATACAGACTGTCTTCATGGTGTGGCACTTTATTGAGCTTAGAGACAAGTTACATTTTTAATAATTATTTTGCGACCAGAGAGATTTTTTAGTACAGTACATTACATTACAGTATTACAGAACTATATGATCGACCTAATCGGCCAGAAACCTTAGAAGTTGAACTAGAAGAAAAAGTAGATACAGACGGAAAAGGACCATATATTTTACAAAGTGAGGTGGAAAAAGCTATCAAGGAAATGAGGAAGGGAAAGGCTACAGGAGATGATGATGTACCTGGAGATGTGCTCAAGTTGCTGGGAGAAGGTGGTTTGAAAACACTGACAAAACTAATGAACACCATATATGAAAGTGGAGGGTGGCCCAAGGACTTTACAGAAGTGACAATGATTGCCTTAAACAAAAAGACAAAAGCTACAAAATGCAGCGACCATCGCACAATAAGCCTCATTACACATACAGCAAAGATAATAGCAAAGACTCTTAAAAGAAGAATTGAAAGGAAAATAGAGGATGTACTTGGAGAAGATCAGTTTGGATTTAGAAGAGGAAAAGGAACCAGGGATGCAATTGGGATGTTGAGAATTATAGCGGAACGAACTTTGGAGATAGATGAAGAACTGTGTGTTTGCTTCATAGACTGGCAGAAGGCATTTGACCGGGTAAACTGGACCAAATTAATGCAGATCCTAAAAGAAACAGGTATCGATTGGCGTGAAAGAA